AATTCAAAGCTACATGGTATGGTGAAGGCCTCCAAGTTGGGCAGTTTTTCAAAGTCACTTTCACCAAGAAGGTCTATGCTCACTAGTAGTCATGATGGACAACTGCAAATCTGTGCTTTGAGGCACTATGCAATTGAACGCTAGTTGCTAGCTAAACAGAAATTGCCATGACTTTAGCCCCCATCATTCAGCAGGGCAGCCTTCCTTGTCATCCTCCCAAATTCCCAACCAACCAAGGAAGCCCAACTTCTGGAATTACAGGAGAAGGAAAAGTTATTTCTCCATACATGCACAGTGTTACATATCTGCCACGACCCCCTTACCTTGCTTGAAGCCTTTGAATGGAAGGAAAGGGTACACCTGCCTGTCATTTTGCTTACATTTTTTCTGCATTTTTGGCCACATCTGCCACAATCTCTTTGAGGGTGTGACCACCCAAACTGCCACATGGCCAAATATTTTCATGCAACTTCAAGTACAATCTACTGGAACCATGTATCTCCCCAAATACAACACTGTTTGCGGTTTAACGCAGTGTGTGAACCCAGCCCTTGGCTTACAGCTATGTGTATTCTGGGCTACGACAGCTTAATCAGCAAACCATGGTTCAAAAATTGTGGCTTAGCATGATCTGCCAATCTAGGCAATGTTTCACTGTCAGCTCTTAAATCTGGCTGCCGCCCAGGAGTTAAGGAAACAAAGCTGTGGAATTACTCTTAAGGCTAGCTTTGTGTGCTACACCTTTCGGCCTTGCGGGGTAAACCAGATAGGAATCACAACCAGATGAGCTAATTCTACTTTACTGTAAAGCTACATTGACAGAATCTTGCAAGTTTGAAAGTACAATTCTCCCTCCACCCCACCGTCTCGCATTCAACCCGAGAAGCTAAGGAGGGTCTCTTCTGAGCCTCTTGCCCCACCCACTATCCAACTGTGGGCTATGCTGTCTCTTATCCAAGGAGGGTCTCTTCTGAGCCTCTTGCCCCACCCACTATCCAACTGTGGGCTATGCTGTCTCTTATCCAACCATTCCATTAGCAACGTCTCTTGGCCCTGTCTCCCAAGCTTTTTCCCCACATACAGTGGTACCTCGGGATACGAACGCCTCTACTAACGGATGTTTCGGGTTACGACCAGCTTCGGCAGGAAAAATTTACCTCGGGTTATGAACTCGCCTCTAGTTACGGACCGGATCTGTGGCCGTTTTCCCTGCTGCCACGCGGTCGCGGCTTCCTGTGGGCGAGGTCGCGGTAGCAAGGAGACGTTTGGTGAGGCTTGTGGTGTGTTTTGCGGTGTTT